AAAAAAAAAAAAAAAAAAAGTATTTAGCCTGAATTACCTGCTGATTGTATACGCCTTAGGTATTCTAATGTAGTATTAGGTATTCTAATGTAGTTCGTGAGCTCCCACACTTGAATCTGAATTTTTAAGTTGCTGTGGAATGGTACTTGCCATATTTTTGTTTAGGATAAATATAGAGTGAGCACTGTTGTACCAAATCAGAAGTCAGGAGTGTCAGATTTTATTAGTCCAGCCCTTGGTCAGCTGCTAAATGACTTGTAAGCACGTTCGCCTGTCCTGTGTGTATAGTGTACACATGTGTGAGAAATTTTGTCCCTTATCTGACAAGTGGGTATGTGGTGAGTTCTCTAGGAACAAAGATTGAGTTATGTATGTAGGATATACATATATCAAAAGGAAAATATTACAACAATTTAAATATTTTAATAGGCTTTCTTTTGAAATTTTAGAAGGGAGTAATACTTTGTTCTTTAAAATAGAATAAGTTTTCCCATGAGCTGAGCAGAACAGAGGTTTGGTTTGGTTTTGAAATAGGGTCTCGCTATGTAGTTAGGCTGGCCTTCGATTCAGTATGTAGTCCAGGCTGGCTTTGAACCATGGTGATTTCCTGCCTCAGCCTCCCAAGAGCTGGGATTACTGGTGTGTGCCACCACATCAGGTTCAGAAGAGGCAGGTTTGCAGAGAACGGGTGAAGAGAGCAGAAACAAAGAAAATACAGGGGACTGTTGAAGTTACTTTCCCTGTACAGTGAGGACAGGAGACAGAAGAATAGAAATATAATTGATTGGTCAATATCAGATTAATTCAGTTTACTTTTGTAAGGCTAAAGCATGTAAGGATTAAAGCAGAGGAAACTTCATCGTCATGCTGATTGAAGCTGGCCCACGTGGGAAGTGTGTGTCCTGATTTCTGAGGTCAGATAACCCTTTATGAGTCTGGCTCTGTGGAATGTACCATGGGTGACTCCATTTTGATTTTTAATCTGGTCTGTTGGGACCTGGTACAGGAGCCTAACCCAAAACAGTAGCCTCCTGTGATTTTTAACACACATGTACATATACATATCCACAAATATAGATACAGTTACAATTCCTAGCACTCCCCCTGGTCCTTAGCAAGGACTTCATAAAGGTTTTTTGTCAATGCATAAGAATTATCTGTGTCCAAGGGGGGTTCTTTGTTTTGCTTTGTTTTTTGTTTTGGTAGTGGTACTGGGTATTGAACCCATGACCTTTATGCTGAGCTACATCCCTACTAGCCTGTTTTTCCTTTCCTTTCCTTTCCTTTCCTTTCCTTTCCT